TTTATACGGTCCTCTGAAAACGCGATTTTGATAGTTTTGCTACTTGAAACAGTTATTAGACGATAACGAATCGAAGAAAATGCCAATCTTCGTCAACGTTTGATAATTTGCAATTTGTCATCGTGCTTTTACGATATTATCGAGCCGCGTTCTCGAGAGGAGATCTATTTTTGTTGACATTCGATTCGTACTGATTCCAGCGTGGATTAATCGTGTCGCGGAAGGATTGACCGTAATTTAACTGTGATTAATTACACGCGCGGGAATATCACCGTCGCGTTACGAATATTATACCACAGAGAGAATGTTCCTGTTGGCGTGGTAGGTAAACCTAAGGTATTCAAATGTTTTGCATTTTCGTTAACGGGGTGAAAAAGGACGATTCCAGGAAGATTTCGTAAGTACGAGTGCGAACACGTGAAGTGAGCAGAACAGAAACTTGTAGAATCAATATTGTATTTGGCGAAATTAAACTGGATATATACTAGGAAGTCGGCTTCGTCGCACGGCTAAATTCAATCTTTCGATGATATATCGAGGAGATTGGCTTCGAACTTTCCACGTCTAAAATCATGGAAATCTAAAATCTCGCTCTGAATAGGGACGAGAATATCTAAATAGGGAGAGGAGAAGGAAAGGGGAAAAAAAAGAGCGACTTAATTTCGCTTTATTCACAGATAAACACACGTGAAAAATAATCCTTTAACGATACCCTCTTTAAAATTTCGAGAGCGATCTCGTCATAATGAGATTGAATTTTTTTTAAAGCAATGGAAGAAATTTATTTCAACGAGTAAATTCGAGAAAGATGATTGGAAGAGAGAGAGAGAGAAAAGAAAAATCCATTCCGTTCCAATTGTCTCGTTGCGCACATCTCGAATTCGGCCCCTTTGTTGATCGCAACCGCTAATTTCCGTCTGTGTGTACCGGGAAAAAAGAGTTTAAAGAGGCTACGATTCTCTGATTTCGCGACCTCCCTCCCTTTTTTTTTCGACCGATTTCCGGATTTTCCGTAACTCGGCTCCCCGCCTGGCCTGATTTCAATTTCATCCCACTTTCTTTCGTTTCCGCACTCGTTTCCAATGAAATGAGATTCTTCTCCCTGGGCTTGCTGCGAAAAAAAAAACGATTTCCAATAAAATTCTTTTCCAATCGAATCTTCCAATCGCCGCGGTCCCTCATTGCCTCGATTTCTTAAACCTTGGTTATCCGATCATCGTTAAGATCACTAATCGATTGTACATCGATCGGTGCGATCCTCTCTCTTGTCGCATTCAATTGTTTTCGAATTATTTCGTTCGTAAATTTTAATATCAAACGTTTGTTCCAAAAAAAGAAAAAAAAGAGTCAAACTATCTTTTCATTTTGAGTTGCAACTAATATATTTATGCTAAGATGGAAATTTTTTTTTTGAAAGTGGCTTGAAATGTAAAATTTTAAGAGAGCTTAGTGTTTTGTTATTGAATTATTAATAATGCTCGATCAGCTCGTGTAATGATTTGTGTAATTTTAATATAGTTACATTAACAAGTAAGACTCTGATTAAAGATTAAAAAGTACTAACTGACTAAGAAAGAAAGGATAAATCGGTTAAAATGTACAAAGCGTCAATGAATGAGACTCTGGAGGAGGCCAAGAAAGTTGTAATAACGTCGAGCCGACATCAACGAAAAGAAAAAAAGAAGATTAAAACGATTTATTATTTCGTTATTTCGTTAAAACTTATATGGATTGCAAGTCCAATTTATACGCAAGCCATCGAAAACGTATTGTTATTCTTTGAACAAAATATGTTCGCCACGCTTAATTGGATCGACAAATTATCAGAGAAGCGCGAAAAAACACGTTGCATTACCGTGTGTTTTATCAGTTACCAGTAATATTTTTAATTCGTTGAAAAAAAAAACGCAAATAAATATCCTCGATTTGTAAAAATAAATTTCATACGAAATTTCGAGTAAATAAATAATTTTAAAATGTAAAAAAACGGTGCCAAAGGGAAAAAAGGAAGGGTGTAATTACGTCTACACCGTGCGTAATAATGACAGAATTGGATCATTCGAAATTATCCACACTTTAATACTGTAACGTTATCAAGATTTCACGAGGAGGAGGAGGAGGAGGAGGACACGAGAATCCTGTGAAATGTTCAACATCTAAACCCAGATATATCGTAATGGATACGTAATTAATTTGTAATCGATCTGCTTAAATTCAAAATCGTGCTTATTGAAAAAAAGTCCATTCGTAATAATTGTCAAACTCGCTTGACTAATAATAATAATAACGATAATTCCTCGTATAAAATACAATTCTCCCTACGAGCACAGTTCCTACGATTTACCTAAAATCCAGTTACAAATATTATCAACCCTTGTGCGCAACTCTTTCATCGTTTCGGCGCGGCTTGCGTCATCATCGGTGTTTAACGTGTTACGTGGGTCGCTATAAACTTCTGCGAAAAACCCCTCCTCTGCTCCAGTGACGCAAATGCCAACTTCAACTTCGTTTCGAACCGAAACTTTTCTTTTTTCTTCTCTCTCTCTCTCTCTCCTCTCTCCTCCCTCCCTCCCTCGTCAAATTTTTCTCCAACGACACGCGAGGAAGATCGATCCACGTAACGTGTATTTCGAATGATCGAAGGGATACGTCGCTTCAGAAACGTGTTCCTGTCGTCTACTTGTATCCGTTCGAAGATATAATTGGTTCTAAGTTGAAAGTTTCTTTTTTTTTTTAAGGACCAGACCTTGGAAAAGGCGAGCTGGAAATAATGGCAAGGTCGCGAAGAATTTTTCCTCTTTTCTTCGAGCCCTCGAGCCGATCATTACCGTTTTAATTGTTTTTTCTTTTTCTTTAATCGTTTCTTCTTTCCCTTTTTTTTTTTTTGATGGATTCTTTGAGAAAAGTATCGAGAAGAAAGAAATCGTAGGAGGCATTGACGAAACGGATACAACAAAGGATCGAATTTTAGTGAAGAAAATGCGAAAGGGATTGAAACGTAAACTTTCGAGTAGAGAATTTTCGTGATTGTTGAAAACGCTCGATTATTAATTGTAAAATTTTATTCGATCGAACGCTTAGAAGAATCGCAATTAATTAAAGAAGGGTAAACTTACTTTTCGAGTAAAACAAGCGATGTAATTATTTATAATTTATTAGCAAACAAGAATTATAATTAATTAAACAAGGAAAGTTTTCAAGTACAACGGCGGGGGGGATGTATGAAATCTCTCAAAGGATTACTGTTCAAAGCAACTGTTGCGAAGTTGGCTTTCCTTGTAACGAGTATCGACTTGTCCTCCGATTCCCAGTTAAATTCCAACTGGTGTGTATCTGTAGTTACCGGAAGGGAACTAACCAACCCGAACTTTTAATTTATTACACGGTTGCTTAACGAGTCGTTTTATATAATCTAATATAAAACGTGACGACGATTTTTATCATGCCTTTGTCCAAAGGCTTGCCCAACTTTTTGCTCGTGATTTAAACTCGTCTCGAAACTTGGTTAATGTTTGTTAAGAAAGATCGTTAATAGTTAAATTGGCCATCAAGCCGAGAGAACTCTTGTAAAGGGAATTATGGAAAATTATTCGTGTTAAATTAAATCGATTATTTTATATATGAAATGTCGAACAGACGAGTCTCGGGAAAAACGCGAATCTCGAACGTGAAATTTATTCGAAACGTTTGATTTATAACGATATTCAAATTCGAAACGAAACGTTAACCTCTTCTCGGCAAGCCGCTTTAAATTATTTCAATCCATCAATTTGGATCGAAGAAACGGAGTGATTATTATCGAGAAACGTGTTCGTTGTTTTGCGATCGAGAAAAGGAACAAGGATTAAGCAAGTAATTTTGAGAGAAGCGTACGAACGAGCATGCACGGAGCATAATACCGCAAGACAAATAGCCCATAGTTGACATTCCGACTAATAAAATTGCTGGAGGCCAATCGTGCTCGGTTGGCATACGGCCAAGCGATCGAAGCACAGTTACGAGCAATTTGATACAGTTCTCGACCGCAAACGATCGCTTGCAATCACTTGTCGAAGGATTAACGTTTTCTTCTCGTCGTGATATATTATTCAAGATATTGTAATAAGATTAATACGCTGTCGATCGCGAGGATTCTTTCTTCGAATAAGAGCTGAATCGAATTTCCTGTTTTTGTGCGTAGATAAAAAGTGAAAACGAACTTCTTAAAGCCTCGAATTCACGATGGATAGCGTATAATAATGTATACAAGGTGTTTGACTACGGATCGTTTAAAGGTCGAGTAAGCAAATTTCTATTAAAATTAGAAAAACTTTGAATCGTTACAACTTCGAAAATAGCGAGTTGCTGTCAACGAATAAAAGATGGTTGGAAGCGCGAAACCCTGCTCTCCGAGACGTTTCTCGAATTATCTCGATACAACTTTCGGTTTCCGAGATATCGTCTTGAAAAGAACCGACTAATTTTTAACAACTCGCTCTAAACGCTCGGTTACACGGTATTAAAATTAAAAAAACTTTGAATCGTTATAACTTCGAAAATAACAACTTGCGGTCAACGAACAATGGATCGTTAGAAGCGTGGAACCTTCCCCTTTAAAGTCCTCTTCGAGTTATCTCGATACGAGTTGCGGTTCCCGAGATATCGTCGCGTAAAGAAAAAGATAATTATTTTTAATCGTTTACTCGAACTTCTTCTCACTTTCACTTCTCTAACGTATCCCAAGTTGCAGACAAATGACAGACGCGACTCCTAAAAATAGCACGCACTGAAGGAAAATATAGACCAATGAATCGTGCCGTCGCCATTCATAAACTCCGCACTGTGGAAGCGCTAATAGAAACGCTTCGACTCTTTATATCTCGGCAACCGATCGAGGTATCGGGACGAGGCGAAAAGTGACTTCGATCGCGCCATTTCCTCTATCTTCCGACTCGAACATTTGACCCTTTGCGCTCGAGTCTCAGTCGCCGTTATCTCCGATTAACAAGAGCGCAGTATTAATTTCTAATAACAGATCCTCCTTAGATCTTTATCTCTTTATTTAACACGTTCCTCGCCCATATATTGGTGACGCTTTCTTCTTCAAAAATAATAAGATTTTAACCATTTATATTTGTATTTAACAAAAATTATCAATCAAGTAAGAAGAGCCCTTTAGAATGTTATATTATATTATATATATATTATATTACACATATGTTTACCAATGTAAATACATATATTTATTAATGTAAATATATGTATAATAATAAAATAGGATAGGATAACGATTATATGGCGAATGCAAAGAGTTAAAGCGGAATTTTAAAAGAAATTTAACGAAACAAGCAGTGTAATATAAATACATAAAATATACTTTGGAATCACAGAATTTAAAATTTAAAAATATATAGAAACAGAAAAGAGGGACAAGTATGATTGGTTAACGAATCACTCTGCATTTTTATATCGCAATTTTAAATCTAAAATTATATAGTAACATAAGGGGGTGTTATTATCACCGATAATAGAACTGGGTTGAAGTTGCCAATTAGAGGCTTATATTCATCAAAATACTTAAAATTGAATTTGGAAATGAACGAAGTGAAGAAGTTACAGAATTATTATGGAATTAGGTAATGAAGACTAAGAACTAATAATATATACAAATATATCCCAATTAATATATAAATATTCCCAACCCCGTGAGGAATTCAACGAAATCACGCTGGGCGACGAACGTGTTAAGAAATGTATAAAATCATTTTACACTTAAGATTACCTTTTTCACCGTAGTCAAATACCTCGCACAAGCGTGAATCGAAATGAATACGATGCGGTACGAAACCGTGGCTTTTGCGAAGCGCGATTCTGGGCCGACGACACACGCTCCTTACCTTTTCGAGCTCTTCAAACTGGCCGGCGACACGTCCGAGTGTCTTCTGAGCTCGGGGCTTCTGGGTGGCGCCAATCCGGAGCCGAGGCCACCGATTTGGCTTCCGCTCTGGCAGCCGAGTCTCGCGTCGCTGTGCCTCCTTTGAAGAGCTTCAAGCACCGGAACCTCGAGCAAGGAATCGGTCGATTCCTGGGTCACGATCGGTTGGTCCCGGGACGCGAGCTTCCGCCGGCACACGCTGCACCTCCAAGACGACTGGAAATAATGGATCCTCGATTCGATTACAGGGGGATTAAACGACGATTGTTCGATCGTCGAGGGTTTCGGTTGCTCGAGATGTGCGTGGAACAGTTTTACGAATTAAAAGGGAAAAGTGGAAAGTTGTTTGTATTTGAAGCGAGATATTTTTATCGACTCGAAGATGGTTAAATATATATATATGTATGGTACGGAAAATGAGGAGGCAAGAATGGGGGAAAAAATGAAATTAAATGGAAACAAATACGGAATATTGAATGAGAAAGGGTAAAAAGAGATTCGCAATGGGAATAATGAGAACGGTATAGGAGGAATATTAAAATGGGGAAGGGAATGGGAGTAGAGTAGATGGGGGGAGATTAGAATAAATTGCATCGCGCATCCATTAGGCTATTAGCTCGCTTTTTAACATTTTTTTTTTTCCCCGAGACGAGAGAACGAGGACCCCGAGAGAATAATCATTAAAAATGGCGTGACTATTGTTCGATGCAGTGGGGATCGATTCCAAAATTATCAATTTCGAATACTTTGTCAAAATACGTTATTATTTTTCAGGCAATTTCTTCCTCGAGTTTAAACTTCGCGAGGAATCCGACGAAAGGATATTTTTTTATTATCATTCTTCTTTGAAACAACAAAGGAGGATGCACACACGTTTGAAAAATAAAAAGATTCTTCCCTGTGAAAAGAAAATTTCCCTCGTTTCCCTAATTAAACAAATGCGTGGCAATGAACGTGGTTGACAGTTGGCGAAAGAATTAAACGTCGTAAAAGTCACGAGCGAATCCCTCTCCTATCCCTATTTTCCTCGATGAACAAATTACACCAACTATTTTTTCCATAATAAACGTTTTCCTCCGCTTTTGTCCCTCTTCCTCTCTTTCTTTCTCTCTCTCTCAAAAGATTCATCTCTTTGAATCGCAGGGAGAAGCATGGCACACAGATAAAGAGATTCCAGCCCTCGAGTCTGCGGCTAAATATCAAATAGACAAGATGCGACCCAGTTTCGTTTTCATACACGAAAATTCCAGGAAAATTCTTTGGAACGCGTTATTCGGAAATTAATCGAAAAAATTATACGAATGGTGGACGGTAATGAGAGAGAGAGAGAGGGGGGGGATGAGGCGCTCACCGGATCGTCGGAATTCGTTGTCGTCGAGTAGCAAGCACAGTCCTCGCAAACTTTGTGTTGACACTCGCAGCAGATTCTCGAGGCTTCTTCGGGGGCGAACGACTTCCGGCACACCCTGCAATCGTCCCCGGTTTTCGACTTGCTGCAAAAGTTGGAGAATCCGTGTGAATCGTATCGATAGAAACAGGAGGCGATCGGTTTTTATCCTCGTAACGTTCCAAGTTTCGAATCTCGGAATTATTTCGATAGAGATGGAAGCAATCGTTGTTTAGAAAGAGGAGAGGAATCGGTGGAAAACTTTTTGAATCGCTAAGATATCGTTGGCTGACTTTTTATCCCTAAGTAAATTTGGAATCTTGGAATTTCTGCGAATTATTTCGATGGAAATGGAAGCGATTGTCGTTTAGAAAGGAGAAATCGTTGAAAAACTTTTCAAATTGCCAAGGTACTAAGATTGCCTATTTTTATCCTTGTTACGTTCAGGTGTCGAGTGTTAGAATTCTTGGGAATTATTTCGATAGAAATAGAAGCAATTATTCTCGTTTACGTAAACGAGAAAACTTTTTGAATTGCTATTTTTATCCTTGTAACGTTCAAGAGTCTTAGAATTGTTGGAAAAGGAATTATTTCGATAGAGATAGAAATCGTTAAGACACTTGATTGCCTATTTTTATCCCCGTAATATTCGAGTTTTGAATTCTTGCGAAAGGGAATTATTTGGATAAAAATAGAAACAATCAAGAACTTTTTTATTGCTGATTATTTTTATTGTTGTAATATTCAAATCTCGAATCTTAGAATTATCTCGAACCAATGATCGTTTAGAAACGAGAAATCGTTGGAAAACGTTTTTAATCGCTAAAGCACTGTTTTATCCTCGTCAAATTTCGAATCTTGGAATATTTCCTGTGAATTATTTCGATATAGAAATAGAAGCAAGCGTGTTGAAAAACGGGAAATTTTTCCAATCGTCAAGATACACTTCTATTTTCATCCTGTGAATGAAAAAAAGTTTTCAAGTTAATGAAAATGCTCACGTTTTCGTCGATTCCGTCGTCGTTTCTTCTTTAGGCTGAGTCTCCTCGACCGGCGTCACTTTAGCGGGACCGAATTTCGTCACTGCAAAAGAAACAAAAGCAAATTTGTAACCGAATCTTTTCGTGTTAATAATTACGTGGAATTAGCACTATTTCGAAAAAGAAAAATGAAATGTTTTTTGAATTTCCTATTCATTAAATTGATAAAGAATAGGACACGACGCGATATATTCACGCGGATTAATATTTCCTTTGTTCGTTGCAATAAGGTTTGAAAATAAAGCGTGTAACCGCCGTGACGACAAGTTATATATCGGAACACTCGCTTTGTGAGATTACTGTTGAAAATTCAGCAGGGATCTACCGATAAAGAGACTTGCAAATTTGAAGAAAAACCCGAATTTGCAGATGTAAATAAAAGCATCCATCCAGATACATTGGTTGGATTGCAAAATGAGTATCTTGATCGATTTCAACAATGTTGCGTTATTGTTACAATTTTATGATTCGTTATCTCATCCTTTGACTTTTTTTTCATTCGACGAATAAGTTTGAAATTGTAACCAGGAAAATTACCAAAATTTGGACACGAAGATAATTATAAAAACATCCATAAGATATACTTCTACCTAGTAAAATTTAACAACACTGAAAAATATCCAATTACACCATTTCTCCATCGTTACTTCCCAAATTACCATCCTCATTAGTAAAACCCTCCCCTCTCTCTCTCTCTCTCTACGTAACG